TTTTGCTACATTTATCTATCTTTTGATACATTTAGCCTTTAGCTATTATTTTGCTACATTTATCTATCTTTTGATACATTTAGCCTTTAGCTATTCTTTTGCTACATTTATCTATCTTTTGATACATTTAGCCTTTAGCTATTCTTTTGCTACATTTATCTATCTTTTGATACATTTAGCCTTTAGCTATTCTTTTGCTACATTTATCTTTTGATACATTTAGCCTTTAGCTATCCATTTGCTACATTTATCTATCCTATCCATTTGCTACATTTATCTATCTTTTGATACATTTAGCCTTTAGCTATCCCTTTGCTACATTTATCTATCTTTGGATACATTTAGCCTTTAGCTATCCCTTTGCTACATTTATCTATCTTTTGATACATTTAGCCTTTAGCTATTCTTTTACTACATTTATCTATCTTTTGATACATTTAGCCTTTAGCTATCCCTTTGCTACATTTATCTATCTTTTGATACATTTACCCTTTAGCTATTCTTTTACTACCTTTATCTATCTTTTGAAACATTTAGCCTTTAGCTATTCCTTTAGCTATCCATTTGCTACATTTATCTATCTTTTGAAACATTTAGCCTTTAGCTATTCTTTTACTACCTTTATCTATCTTTTGATACATTTAGCCTTTAGCTATCCTTTTGCTACATTTATCTATCTTTTGAAACATTTAGCCTTTAGCTATTCTTTTACTACCTTTTTCTATCTTTTGATACATTTAGCCTTTAGCTATTCTTTTACTACCTTCATCTATCTTTTGAAACATTTAGCCTTTAGCTATTCCTTTAGCTATCCATTTGCTACATTTATCTATCTTTTGATAAGTTCCTCTCTGTCTCTTGAGTTACCTTGAGTAGACCAAAGGCGGTGGCCTGGCGCGACTGGTCGTAGATGTCCTCCTCAGCGTATCCCAGCAGCACCTGCAGCTGGGTCTCTGAGATCTTGTTGCTTTTGATGTTTTTTACCAGAACAGTCATGGCCTGAAACATGTTTTGGTTACCGAATAGTATCGATCAGTGTTTAGCATTTATGTTTAGGATCTGAACTTAGGTTTAAGGGTTTTATTTCTTGTTTAAAGTACCTTGAAGCAGTTCTGGACCAGCAGATAGTTCTCTCCGCGGGCGGCTCCAGCCTTTGAGTAGTCCTTCAGCAGGACAAAGAGCTGCTTGGTCAGGCGCTCRGCATTCTGTTCCACCGCTGGCAGAGGGAACTTCAGCAGCCAGGTGATCCCTACCAGAGCCTCTGTGATCACCTGGGAGGGCGGCGCTGGTTATTTACTCTGCAGATCACATGCAGAGGTACTAAAACATCAAACGTGTGTACCTTGAYGTGCATGGAGTCGAGGCAGTCGAGCAGCAGCAGAACGAAAGGATCCAGCATCTCCAGGGCAGCCGGTTCTGATGAATTCACTTTAGATTTCTTCARACTCAGGTGGAGCAGCTGAAGAAGACACAGAATAACTCCTGTGTTCAGACACAACCTGCACCACCACACAATGTTTAAAAAAACTAAGAGCACCTTGAGGCCAGCGTCCACCAGGATGTGCATGTTGGTGCGTCTGCTGACGAGAGCTTTCTGTCCTCCTCTCTTTGGAGTCGGAGGCAGGAGGAGGCAGCTGGGAGGAGGCAGCCGGGGATCAGGAGGAGGTTCGGCTGACAACTTCTCTCTGCAAGAGGAGAAAAATCTTTTAGCTTTCATTTTTCAAATCCTTTTAACACTTGCTGCTTTTAAATAACCACTGAAACATTTAGCTTTTAGCTAGTGTTTTGCTACTTTCTCTAGCTGTTGATAAATTAAGCTGTTAGCAAGTGTTTAGCTATTATCATCTGGCTTTTGATACATTTAGCTATTAGCTAGTGTTTTGCTACTTTATTTAGCTGTTGATACATTTAGCTTTTGGCTAGTGTTTTGCTACTTTATTTAGCTGTTGATACATTTAGCTATTAGCTAGTGTTCTGCAACTTTATCTAGCTGTTGATACATTTA